GAGACTCATGCCTGGAACAGATATCATTTAATTGCTGTATCAAATATGACTAGCAAGCTGTATGGGGCTGTAAGGTTTCTCTCTCTCCTGCACCCATGTACGTGCTGTACAGTAATATCGCTGACAGACAGAGCTGGGTTATAAAACTGAGGATCACTAAATCTAGAGGTGTGCATGAACCCAACCATGGAGACATAGGGTTCCACAAGAATGAAGATCTTCAGCCAGCAGTGTTTTTCAGCAGAGTCACATGGTATGAGACAAAACATTTTGGAGTTAGCCCATGCAGGAGGTTAACGTAATTTATTTTCTGTTCAACCATTCCAACATACTTTGCAACTGTGTGCAACTCTATTTTAGATTTTGATGTTTTTCTTCATAAATATTGTTTGGTAGAAGCTGCCTAGTATCACGAGAGATTGAAAGCAAAGCATTGACAAACAAGATTAGGCAATAGCCATTAATAGGTATACAATGATAAGACCAACCTTGAGCTGTATCCTTAATTATCGACTAGCTAAGATTCTAGTCTAATTAGTGTCGAGTTTTCCCTTATCTAGGAGAAGTTACAGTTTGTTTGACTAAATGTATAAAAACGTGTAAACCTAAAGATAAGGATTTAGCCTCAGTGCTCTCCACAAACATATGTTCCCAATAAATAGCAAATGCTCTAACTAAATTTCTGTTTCAGAGGCTGCTTTGACAATTTTAATAGCTACATTATTTTTGACTTAACCTAAAATTACATAATGATGATCGTAAGCTGTTCCATTCCTTTGAAGATTGATCCTAAAAGCTGTGGTAGTAATATAGATTAGAGGTGAGTGTGTTCCCAACATATCTACCAAAGGATCCAAGGCTAATAAGGTTTACTAGTCATTAGTTGCAGTGGCTGTTTAAAAGCTGGTAACATGGATCTGAAAGGAATTATCTCTTCCAAAGCTTTTTGAAATGTTAAAGGAGTTAAGGAGGAGCAATAAAGTGTTTCTTTCTGTTGGTAGTTTTGTCATCCTATTTCTTTTGCCTGAACTAGACAATATGAGTTGGGATTTAAAAGAAAAAAAAAAATTGTTTTAAAATTTCTAGTTTAGGATTACACAACTATTTGCTTTCTCAGTGTTCAAAATGTGTGCTTTTCACAGTTTTTACAACCTTCATGCTCAGTTTACAAAACTTACGCAAAACTATGTGTGCACATTCTTTGTTGCTGGCTTTTTTTCCACAGCAGCCATACACGGATCTTTTTGCTTGCAATGAGAAACAGAGTGCAATTATAGCTTCTTTTAGCTTTGTAAGAGAAAAGATTACCACCTGCGTACAAACTGACTGGCAGTGTTTTTCAGTCTGCAGAAAATTCACCGTCCCTTTTTAATGAGAATAAAGTGTCATACTGATGAATCATCTAGGCAAAAAAAATTAGCATATGGTAGCATGAAGAAATGAGTGGTTTTGATGGAGTGCAATCTGGTACAGCTCATATTTCACCACTTTTCATGCTTATCAGTCTGTAGGTTTGTGACAAAAGAATATACAATTTATCTGAAGTCAAAGTTAAATTACTGGCAAACCCAAGACTTGATCTGTATTCAAGTTGCTAGGTTGTTTCACTGGAATTCTAGATACAGAAGTAAAATATTTCTAGCCATTTAATTAGTAGGAGGCTTAATTTTTTTCAGTTAAGAATAATGAACAGTACACTGTTTCTGTATAGTCAATTATTTGTTAGAATATTTGGGGTTTCTTTCAAACCCTGCTTTGTATTTGTAAACACATGAGTTTCACAAATAATAATCAGAGGAACAGAGAAGTACCTTTTATAGATAATATGGATGATTTATGATTATCTATAAAGGTGTGTACAGGCTAATAATAGTCTTTATTTTACAGGACACTATAGCTTCTCAAATTTAGAACAGAGATTAATTTGTTAAGTATTACAAAGATTATGTAAGGGTATAACCTATGCTCCATTAATGTAAATATCAAAACTCCATAGATTTCAGTGGAAACAGAAGTGGATTTGGAGGTAGATGATAAAAGATATGGCAAATCATCACTAAAAATGGAAAAAAAGTCATGCAAGAGAATGTAAGATATGTGTATATGTATATTTTGGCAAGCAAGGCAGCAGTGAAGGTGCTCAAATCTACAAAGTAAGAAATTCAATTAAGGAAAAAAAATCCATTTGTTTCGAAAGGCTGGTTTATGCCTCTTCTGTTAAGAACCAAGGCAGGAGTGCCAGAGTGCCTTCTTACACATGCACACCCTGTCTTTCCAGTTCTATAGAAAACACGTTTACAGGATGGGTCATTTTACTGAAGAGCTGAACGACAGTGGGGAGAGTCTGAGCAGCCCCATATTGCTTTGCTTTGTGGGCTGCAGGAAGCAGCAGGAGCTGGCAGCAGCCACAGGGTGCAGGATAAGGCAAAACAGCAATTGCCTGCCCTGAAAAGCAAAAGACACTTTACCTACCAATCATTTGTAGCCCAGGGAAACAGAGAAGACATTTCAGTAATTTCAGCAGGTTTTAGATGAGGTTACCTTTTGTAACTCAACCCTTTTTGCTCCAAATAAATACAACTTTATTCAAAGAGCAGAGTAATACGATTACTAGTGATTTGCTGTATCACTTGTTTGATGTCCATGCTGTTATTGCTTCAGACAGGAGGATCAATAATGCTCATAAGGAATGAAAGTTTCTGTAAATCCTACATTTATCTTCTCCATGTGGGTAAATATTCAGGACAAATGTTATCTGTAAAATTACCTGTATCATGTGTTTCTTTGCACACAAAACCCATCTAAATCTGCAGCAGATGTAAAGGCACACTCCCATAGACTACAGCCTTGGGATTTGTTTATGCTATGTAGATTAACCATTCAGATGTTTTTCATTTTTAGTGCTGTTTGATTACTTGTAATGAGCCATCATAGTAATAAAATAAGGATAGATATAAAACAAATGTCCATGTTAACCATAAACTCTGATTATTTGCAGTATTTAGATGAAAGTTTATTCGCATTTGCTTGTTGGGTCCCTGATACACTTGGATGCTTTTGCAATGAATAACACAACACTGTAGTCCACAGTGACAAAGACTGGCCTTGTCCACATTTGGCCCTTCTTTATTTATGATAGGAATGAAATGCATCTGGTTTGCTTGCTAATAAAAGAGCTTCTAAATAAGGTTTCTGTTATTAACACAATATGGGGAAGAAGAGGGAAAAGAAAAAGGTATATAGGAAAGGGTGAATGAACAGAGTACATGAAGGTGACTTTAGGCTACAGCTGCTGTATTTAGTGTATAGCCCAAGGGAAGGTGCTGGGAAAATTGAACCCAAAAGAAGTCTGTCTGCGCTATGGAGCATTAGCTCAGCAGGATCATTATAGGACTAAAAGAGTGAGCTTTTCAAGCCAGCAAGGCAGGTCTAAGAGAAGGTGAAAGAGGCTGTCTGAATGTCAGGAACTAAATTGGTCTGGTGAGCATTTGCCTTCAGGAACAAGGCTTAGAAAGCCTGTCAGAGAGGGAGCCAGATTATGCTGGTCTCAAGAGGAACATAGGGCCATACTGCATCAAGGAAGGGTGACAGGACCATTTCACAATGGGATAATAAGGAGAGTCTCAATTCTTTGCCATGGAGCTATATCTTAAAAGAGGATTGTCAGCATTTGGAGGACTGATTTGTGCAGATTGAAATACATACATAACAGTGCAGGCATGGGAACTTCACTCATTTCCACTTAACACAAATATTCTCTTTCAAAGATGACATAAAATATCTTTGTGCTTGTTGAGAACATTCATTTTGCTGTGAACGACTCGGTGGTGAACCCTTCCTTCAACAATTTTCGTTGTCAAGCCAGCAATGTAATACCTAATAACTCTAGAAGGCTTTTGCTAGACTTGTCTTCATTCAGTCTTATACTTCCCTGATACAGGTAAAGACATGAACCCAGGACAAGAAGCACCCTTTCAGTGCAAAATCTAATTTTGCAGCATTTTCCCTGGTGGTTGTTTCCTTATGAAACACCTATCACTGTGGGAAGGGGGATGTGTTGCCAGAACAGTTTTCTGTATTGTCATTGCCTTCTCTGGATCCTTTTTGATAATTTATTATGTGACTGATTGAAAACAAGTTGTTGTATTAAATATATTATCATATGGTACAAAGGGGGTATACATGTGCTAGTGAGAAAGCCATACCGGGCAATTTAAAAGAGGTGGGAAGACAAATCAATGCATCTTTTCAACTTGACCTCTCCATTAGACCTTAAGTCCCATTATTATCCACATTTAAACTGCATTGGCGTTTTGTTGACTACTGTTGCAACCAATTAGCTAAGCGCACCTCAGTAGCCTACGTACCCTTACCTAGCCTGGCCAGCTCGGTTGGGTGGGATGGGATTCTGTCAAGCCTTCTCTGGCATGAGTGGTTATACTGCTGGTGAACATCTGCCTGGGAAAGGACTCTTCAGGAGCCTCCTAGGATCTCGGTGAGTGCAATGGCCAAAAGTTTGGAAAGTTACTTTTCGGTCTGAGCTTCAGCTCATCATCAGGCGAGGGCCTGCAGTGGCGTTGGCGGAGAGGGAGCTGGAAGGACAGCTAAAATCCCCCCCTGCTGCCTCGTTTGGTCTGGGCACGGAACAGCAGCAGAGGACCCGCTGCAGGTGGCACAAGACTCCCCTCACGTACTTACTACACAAGCCTCTTTAGTTTCCCTCTCAGCCCGATCCAAACGTGAGGAGAGGTTGGCTTGGTAGCTTCAACTCCCGCCTCGGGCATTTTGGGCCTCTACCCGCCGTGCCTGGCGCTCAGCCGCCGCCGGGATGCCGAGGGGCGGCGGGCGCTCCCTCAGGCGCGGAGAGCCGCGAGCCGGCCGTCCCGCTCCACAGCGGCGGGGCCGGGCCGGGCCCGCGCTGCGCGCTGATTGGCTGCCGCCCCCCCCCCCCCCCCGCCCCGAGGCCCGCCGGCCAGGGCAGACGGCGCAGGCTGAGGGCAGCACCGCCGCCTCATCGAGCCGGCTGCTCCCGGCTCTGCCCGCTCGTACTGCCGCTTCTCCGCGCTGGGTCCGGCGCCGGTTGCTTCGCCCCGCGCCCCGGCAGAGTGCCGGAGGGGGCGGCGGTCCGGCAATGGCGGGGCGCGGGCGGCGGCGCTGAGAAGGGGGTTTGGGGAGGGAGAGAGGAGGTCGGCGCCATGCGGTCCCTGAACATCACCCCAGAGCAGTTCGCGCAGCTCCTGCGGGACAACAACGTGACGCGGGAGCAGTTCATCGCCCTCTACGGGCTGCAGCCGCTGGTGTACATCCCGGAGCTGCCGGGGCGCACCAAGGTGGCCTTCGTCCTCATCTGCGTGCTCATCTTCGCCCTGGCGCTCTTCGGCAACTGCCTGGTGCTCTACGTGGTGACCCGCAGCAAAGCCATGAGGACTGTCACCAACATCTTCATCTGCTCCCTGGCGCTCAGCGACCTCCTCATTGCCTTCTTCTGCGTCCCCTTCACCATGCTGCAGAACATCTCTTCCAACTGGCTCGGCGGTGGGTGCCCCGAGGCTGGGGCGGGCGGTCCCGGGCCGTTACCGGCTGGGCGGCCGCTGGAAGGAGGTGTGGGGAGCGGCAGGCGACGAGGCACGGCGGTGGGGCAGCGCTTGCGGCCGCCGCCGCCGCTGACCTCCTTCCCGCCGTCTGTCAGGGACCCCCCTCCTTCCCGCCGTCTTGTCAGGGACCCCCCTCCTTCCCGCCGTTTGTCAGGGACCCCCCTCCTTCCCGCCGTCTTGTCAGGGACCCCCCTCCTTCCCGCCGTCTGTCAGGGACCCCCCTCCTTCCCGCCGTCTGTCAGGGACCCCGAGGGGCGCGGGGTGTCCCCGCGGTGAGCCCCGGGCAGCCTCGGCTTTTGGGACCGGTTCTCCGCTGAGGAGGAAGGGGCGAGGGCGCCGCTCTCCCCTGAGGGCGGCGTTATTTCCGCACGCTCCCGCAGAGCTCTTGGTGCTCGCACAGGGCTTAAACTCTTCGGTGAAAACTTGAAACGCCTGCTCTCCCTGGAGCTGCTGGCCGCGTTCAGGCGTTCGTAGTCTGTCACCGCAGGACTGGGGCGCTGATCCCAGGGGTGTAGCTCAGTAACCTCAGCCTGCCGTCGGATGCTTTTCCGCAGAGTTAAATTATGGCTGCACACTCCCTCAGGTTATGTTAAACCCAGTGCACTTTCCTGCTTGTATTCGTTGAAAGTTGCAGTATGTGTGTGAGAAACGGTATCTTGTGTAGTGCTGATGAGGTAGCCTTGTATTACTTTGGTTTTTTCTTCTCTAATGAAATCCGTCTGGCAAGTGAAATACAAGTCTATTCAGCTTAAGTTTCTGTGACAGCAGTCCAGTCGGACCTCCTTAACCTGCTGTGAGGAAAAAGAATGTGCCTTTGGAGAAATAGGAGAGTGAGAGAACATGCAGAATTTATGTTGAAATGATGTGATGTTTTTAAGATGTATCTTAGGAATTATGTTGTATTCCCATTGGTGTGAAGGACCTTAGGGCAAGGCCTCCCTGATGCCTAGAAAGAATTATTTTTTTCTTTTTATGTGTCCCGGTTCCAAAGTAGTGAAGTAACAAAAAGGAAAAGGTGAAGTAACACTGGAAGTGGTATTTATCTTCATTTTCTTGGTCTTAAAACACTGTTTGACAATTATAGGTGGAAAAATATATGTTTTTGCAGCAAGCAGCAGACATCTTATACAACCACAAATTGAAGTATTTTTCAGAATATTTCAATATGAACAGAAAAGATGTTCATAAAGGGTCACGGTTATGTTTCAATTTCCAGGGTTTCCTGTGCTTCTGTAGTTGTGAGACAGTAAAGGTTACCTTCAGAACATGGAGATTTAATTTCAGTACATCCCATGGTCTAGAATGCGGAATGGGAATTGACAGGTCAGAGGAGACTTGAAAAGCACATGGATACCTAACCCAGTGGGAAATGAGCTTGATTTTTGTCTGAAAACCAGGAACTTTATGGGAAAAGTGATGAATACAGAACTCCAGGGGCTACTGATAGTAAGGACAACTGTTTTATTTTCTTATGAGCTGTCTTTGAGGGAGGTAACCACTGTTTTTAAGACAGTGCAGATGTTGAACCCCAAAGGTAATAAGGAAGTGTAAATAAAAATTGTGGAATAAATTGAGAGCTATGCTGCTGTGCCTTCCTTTTGACTATTGTAGTTCCAGTTCTCCTTCCTCAGAGAAGAATACAGCAGAAAGTTACTGGTGGCATCAAGAGATCTCACATAAATGGGAGAGGACTGATTTGAGTAGCTTTCCCTAAAGGGAAGAGGTGTGATTCTCCTCACTTGTGAGGAAGACCCTGGTCTTTCAGCTTGATCACGTATCTGACCAGAATCAACTAAAAGTTGTGTGGGATGAAACCTGTACCTGAGGTGAATTACAGCAGATATGGCACAGGCATGTGGAACAGTATGGGAAAGTATGTATGTTTTAATTTACCCTCCATTACCGAGGATGCTTGAGAAAAATCTGCAAGTAGTGAGTGTAAAAGGTGTAGCATAGTTGCAACAAATATCTGCAGATATTCAGTAGTTGGATACTTTGAAGTATGCTGTCCTGTGGATTTTACTTGTACTTTTTGACTGTCCTCTTGGCTGTGCTACAGCATCTTCAGTATAAGTGGATCCATAGGTCCCGCTGACTTTCGTAGCAGCCTTTATGGTCCTGGTAAGGTAATTAGCTTTAACACAGTATTGGGAGGTCATAATAAGTAACAATTGATGGATGTTACCCTTCACTGTTGGGTGCAGAGGTTGTGAAGTAAAATTCAGGAAAACACATGAGAAGTAAACTGTTGGTATCCCAAAGGTACCTGATTCCTGAGGCTTACACCGTGACGCATGAATGGTGATTACAGTTATACTGCATATCAGAGCCTGCAAATCTGGGAGGAGTCTGTTCCTTGCTAGTTTTACTGGTTTAATTTTCCTTTTGCCTTTCATTTTGTAGACTGAAAAAGCTTATTCTCATCCACCTTAGTGCAACATCTCTGAGTAGTGCAAATTCCAACTCTGTTAAGAAAAAGGTGATCTGACTGTGTAATGTATTGTTGCTGGAAAAGGTGCTGTATCCCGAAACACTTAATGCAAGAGATGTCTGGGTTTCTGAGCATTTCTTCTAGTTTCTGCATCACTAAAACAAGTATCTGTACTAGTTGATGTGAACTGAGACATGTATATTTTGTACTTCTCTTTGATTTGGAACTGGTTCTTTCTTTCTATGCTTGCACGTATGTGTGTTGTTTTTAATTCTTTTCCCCTTAAGAAATCCACAGCAGAATGGGAGAGGTCAGGGGAAAACTGCAAACAGTATAGACTGTAGAGTTAGAACATACAAACATAAGACGAGCCACAGTTTCAGAATGACTTGTATTTTAAGACATTAGGAGATGCTACCAGAAAAGACCAACTACCATTTTGGTTCTTCTAAAGTGAAGGGTGAAACATAAACACTTTAAAGCCAAAGGGTTCTGGGTATGTGTAGTTTACAATAGGACTCCAAGGAGAGTGTTGATAGCTGGTGATGTAAAGTAATTCAACTTGTGGATGGTAAAGTGCTCCTCTAGCAGACAGTGTTTGTCAGAATTCTTTAGAAACTGAAGATTTCTCAGGTTCACTGTATCACACTTAACTTCTGACAGAGATGGGGAAAACTAAAGGACTGGCAAGACTTTTTCCACAATATATTCATTAATACATCTTAACTTCACCTACAATTTACCAAGTGCAGTTTCAAGAAACTGAGTGTGTGCCTCACTTTGCCTGGTGATTATGCAGCATTAACACAGACCTACTAGCTATACATAGGCAGCAACTGGGAGCAGCAGCATATTGACTAAAAATGGGTGAATTGGTCTTGCTTTTGATTCTCTGATATCTTAAGAATAGGTATAGCTGTGTGAGAGTGTAATAGTGACAGTATGTGATTTCATTTCTGAATTTATACTTTGCAACTGAAATTGCTCTAATTTCTAGGGGAATTTTGAATAAAAATCCTGCAAGCTAATGTCTATGCAGTGTGGAAGGTACTGCAGAAGAAAATAAAAATTGTGGCTTTGGCATAAATGATCACTGGGATCATATTTACTGGTAAGAGGAAGATCAAATGGGAACATGGGTAAGGGATAAATTGATGCATAGAGCAAAGGTAGTCTTGGTGCGCACTGAGGCGGTTGAGCATTTGCTCTCATGCAATCATAGGAGGCAGCAGTAGTGGTCTCATTGTCACACTGATGACAGCACTATGAAAAGATAAATTTGGGCTTTTGTCTCTGGGACAAATATTACAAGAGTCACTTTAATTTCTGACATTGCTTAGTTAGCAAGAGTAACAGCATTATCTCTACAGAACTGCCTGCAGTGACTGGAGAATTAATGTGTAGTATAATAGCTTGGGCAAAAGATTAAGGCAGAACATGAGGTTACGGTAGACCTAGCGCTATGCTGCGCCTTTCTCATAAATTTTGCATTTTATCAGTTAGAATATGTATTCTCAAGACAGGTGTCAGAGGGTGGCTTTTCCTGTTGTTTAGGGAGTAGGGAGCCACCTGAGGCACTACTGAACACACAGCAGCATTTGAGATGCCCTCAGGTATCTTGTCTGGCCTCCAGCTGCCACTCAGGAGAGGGGTGGGTCTTCTGTACATTGCTGTCATGTCTGGTGCTCCTTGGCATGGCAGTTCCCTCTTCTCTAAAGGCTTGGTTGAAAACCAAGTGGCATCTTCTACCCGGTTGAGTATTTAGGGTGCTTTCTGTTCTTTACCAAACATCTTATAAGTGATGTAACGCACTTTGTGATACAACTTTCCTGTATGAGAATGCATAAACATTCCTTTTTGAGGGATGTAAACTAAATCTTGGCAACAGAAATCACTGGGCCTTTTGTGTCTGATATTCTTGGATATCTCGAAGTTTTTCAGTGAGACATGAGAAACTTCTTCACTCTGACTTGCTTCTGGAATGTTCTTTGATACTGAAGAGTTTCCAAATAATCTCAAACTGCTGACGTGCTATTGGGATTAATACTACACAGTAAAGATAGATATGAGAGATTCAGTTATATGAATCTGCTGTTTGTAAGCTTTTTTTAACTTTTCAGTTGGAGTTGTCTAGCCTTGCTGTAAATCAGGTCAGGGATGCAAGAGCACTCTTTATTTGTCTCCTGCTGTGTGAGAAGTTATGTTTTGGGATTGATCTGCTTCTGTTAAGAGCAGGGTGATTTTGTAGTCCTGTCTGTATTGGTGAAATCTTGCCTTACCTTTAATTCTCTGTGCCCTGCTCTTGTGTATTTGGGGTATTTGCTTATGAGTAGAGGCAGGAATAAAATTCTGCGTGAAGATGATTTGAGAAAGGGTTATACAGTGAATGCCTCGGGAAAGAAAATAATAGCCTTAGGTTTTTAAAATATATATATATATAATATATTGGCAGGGTGTTTTGTTTAAAAGCAGCAAAACAATGCTGACAAAAGGCAAATTACTCCATCTAT